AGCAACAGGGAATTCATGCTTGGGTTCGTTTGGTGCACAAGAATCACCATTAACATCCCTACCTTTCAGTGCCTCAATGCACAAATTCAGGAGCCATCTATAGGACATACACAGTCCCCCAGCTCTTAAGAGACAACCCTTCTGCTTTGTGTGACCATGTATACAATCTTTCTGTGGATTCTGTTGTTGACTCTCTATCTAGCCAGTGTCCTTCCCTGATGAGTGTTGACAATATGGGGGTGGTTGCAAAAGGTTTATTATTTAAGAATAAAATGAAAAACTTCCTTTGCAGTAGAGCCATTCGGGGGGGGTGCAGGATGGGGGGTGGTACAGATGCTCATGCTTCTGTAATCACAAGATATCTGATAACACAACCAGCCTTATTAGAAACCTTTTTCTATTTTTGGGATTAATCCAGAAAAGGGAAACAATGTGCCAAGTCAGAAACCACAGTGCTCACTGTGATCCCACCTGGAGGAAAGGCTGTGCTTACACCTTGTTTTCCCTTTTCAACACTCACTCTGATAAAGAGGATTCAGAATAACAATCTGCCTTTCTTGGTAGGTTTGTACGTAGCCCATTGAGTTGACTGCTGAACACCACACAGCATGAACAGATTTACCTCACCCCTGCAGAAACATATGGAACAGAAGAGTGAAGTGACCAACTGAGGCTGGGAAGAGCTCGTATTTCAGAGCTGAGGGAAGGCAGCAGACATTAGTGCCACAGTGCCAGGGCTGTGCTCTTAGGCAGACCCAGAGAGGACACTGGCACGTGGCCTCTCCCTGCAGGCTAGTAGCAGTGCTACCCACAGACCAGGAATCTGCTAGTGGCCATCACGTCCTTTTGTGCCCATTAGACAACATTTCTCCTTATAATCACCAGCTGTGTTGACGTCTTTCCAAACGACTGAACAGCTGGGGCCAATATTTCCACATGTTGCAAAAAAGAAGCAGGAAAGATTGGCATAAGGGACAAGGATATCTCCAGGGGAAAACAACTGTTTAAGAAAAAAATGCAAAAAGATATCATCCCAGAGATGAAGTTTTGTATGCATTTATGTTGTCAAGGTCATAAACTTGGAAAGTGATGCAAACTTTGTTTGTCACAAATATAATAGCAGAGTTTTGGTGGGTTTTTTTTAAATCTCCAAAACTACATTGAGGATTTTCTCATAGTCCTGCAAAGCCATCTTTTATGAACCCAACATCACAGGTTTCCTGTTATGCAGTTACAAAAGCAGTGGGGATTTTCAAGGGTTTTGCTTGTCACACCACCAGGATTCAGTGAATTATCTGAGGTATGTTTTGCAGCTGTCAAAAATCTGTACCTGTGTGACACAGCACAAAACAGAAAAGAGCTGTCCGTAAGAGAGAGCTACAACTGTATTCATCTGAGAACAGAGAGGGCATGTGAATAAAAAGAGAAATATTCCAAAACATGTCACTGGAAAAGACAGCAAAGGATGTTGACCCTTTCTGTAGTTTCACTAAGGATGTCAACATGTTATCAAAGCTTAAGGAACAGAAACAGTCCCTTCTTACTCCCAAGGTATTTCTATGCTTTTGTTACCAATTGTGAACATAGTTATCTAAAACCACAATGAGTAAGAACATGTATACATGTGTCACACATCAAACTTTACCTGGACAGGGTTTTTGGGGGCTTATAAAGACTTTCTTTCTTCAAAATTCTTTACTATAGGTGCAAAATGTCTGTATCAGGTTAAGTCAATAAACCTCATTATCAAGATTCTGCATAGGAAAAAAAAATCTTGTCACAGACACATCAAGATAGGAAAGATGGTACTGACAGAGAGATACTGTGTTGGCCTAATTCCAATAGATACACAAGAGGTATTTCACTCGGTTGCATCAATACATAGCTCAGCACACTCAAGAGGAGGAGTGGAGAGCATTGACTGTAACACTTACCCCCTGAATCCAATCAGACTTCTGATAATCAGACACTTGTGGCTGTTCACTGGCTACAGGAGAGAAAGTAAACAAATAAATGAAACCCAAATAACAGAAAAGCCAAAACCAGACTCACCCATTTGAAAAACACCAGGAAAGGAGATAAAGTTCTGTCCTTGACCAGCATATCTCCCTCCATGGGCTGCACTTACAAATGAAAAATCCTTTCTCTCACAAATCCCAGCCCTTCATCAGACTCTATGATTCTGTGGTTTCCAGAAAGTTTCTGTTTTAATTAGTTTGCACTACAAAGATGCATGGCTAGTTGTGAGCACCTAGACTAATCTGGAGAATGAATGCTGATCTCAGAAGCATGAAGAGACTTCCTTCCTTGCTGCTTTGGAGAGAGGTAGGGTAATAATATAGACCTGATCCTGCAAAAACTTTTCTGTGAGCAACTTTGGTCTCATGCATAGGTCCCTCACCTATATGAACAGCTGCATTCACAAATATTTGCAGTTATCAAGCAGAAAAAAAAAAAATCTCAAAACATCTGTGTGGCATCTGTTCCAAAGAAACATCTTCAGAGTAGCAAAAAAAAAACCAAACCAACCAACCAAAAACCAAAACCCAAAAAAACTAAACAAAAAAGCCCCCCCACACTATTTGAATATGAATCTTAAAGCTGCTTTGCAGTGTCTTGGTTTTGGGGGACAAGGTCAGAAAGCCTACTAGATACAACTAAGACTAAAGCTGGTGTATTGAATACATTGGGTTTTGGAGGGGTTGCAACATGAAATGTTTAGCCACATTTTTTGCCGGAGTAAGGGAATAACAGAATGCTGACACCTGAAGCAAAGGGAACTGTAGCTGACATGTTTCTATCCTGAAGCCAGGGATAATTCTTCTGTGTGCCTGTGCCCCTGAGGCAGCAGGGTCCCCTCCACACAGGCAGCAGGTGCCCCTTGGCCTCACTGTTCACTTCTCCTTTGGGTGACAATGGCAGAGGTTGAGGTCTGCTGTTCTCCAGCAAAGCTTTAGTAAATTATTAATTTTCTCTGTTACAGTTTTCTGCCTTCGGACAACCTGTTAGCTTAAATAAAGTACATCCCAAGGCCCTCTTGAGAACAGAGAGATGCTGGAAGGAAGCAAGCTCCTGCCTCTCTGACAGCTTTGCAAACGTTCGCCCAGTTTTCCTACCTGTAGTAGGTGAGGGAGGGTGAAGAAGGGGAAAGAAATGAAGTTGTCCTTTGACATTTTACATCCAAGCCTTACTGAGATAACCTTTACAGATAATTTTCCCAGCAGTTGTTAGATATTTCTTGTGAGCATTTAACAGTGAAACATCATTAAGTAATGACTGGCAAAAGCAGTTATAAAATTTTTTGGAGGGGTGGAACCAAGACGTATTAACCTTAGGATTTTAAATAGAAAGACAACATGTTTCCTGCACTAATCCTATTATTGTGAATATCCTTTCTAGCATATTTGAAAGCAGATTCACTTGTGCTGAACTTACCGTAATGCATTCAAGATGCTCTTTCTATAACTTTCAGAGGGAGGCAACTGCAAACAAAAATATTTTAAGGATATTGAAACTATTCCTTCCTGTTTCAAAAGATGGTTTTCCAGCAATATTAAATAATTTTTTCCAATTCTTTTTAAATTCAATTCAAATAGTAGAATTAATTCTATCCTTTCATAAAGTGTAGCATCATGAAGAACAAATAAAACTTCCATATTTTAAAGTTCTACTTGTTGATCTCAGAACACCGGAATCTTAAAAAGGGGGGGGAAAGGGGCAGCGTTGTTTTGGTGGTGGTTTGTTGCTTTTGTTGGTTTGTCCTCTGCTACCTGAGGCAGCTCTCACAGCCAATGGGCAAGGGCAGGCTCAGCTTTCGGATGGTAAACACCTACTCTGATAGCTGCAGAGTTTTTCATCTTCAGGTGAGAAAGGCTCAGCCTTATTCCATACCTGCCCTTCATGCTCACCCCTCACTGCTCAGATTTTTTCCCTTCCCTCCTCTTTCTATTTCACTTGTGCTTTCTTATCATCCCCTTTCCTGTTCCTCCTCTCCCAGTGTGGCCAGGCTGGTGTGCTGCCCTAATGCCCATTACATGCTCCCCCCTCCTGCTCCCCATTTTGAGTAGGAGCTGTGCTGACCAGTAGAGCCCTGCAATGGCCAGTGACAGTCCAACATATTATTAGGTCTCACCAGTGCGTTCCCTCTCTGATTGCAGGGAAGTCTGTCAGCATCCCTGTAAGGCTGCGGAGCTTCTGAGTTGCTGCTTTACAGTGTTTTGCTTTATAATGGCTCCATTTCACGCCCTGATGCAGCTGACTTAACATACTGTATTTCACTTTTCTTAATTAGATTTTGTTCGTTATTCCTGAGCACCTCCAAAAGGCGAAGCAGCACAGTGTGCTGCTGACATGGCTGTTCTCTGTGCCAAAGCAGCCCCAGGGCCTGGGATCCTAGTTTGCACCCACACAAGCTGAAAAAAAAAAAGTTGTGTTTTACCCTGAGGAAGGAGGTGTGCAGCTGAGGAGCTCAGTAAAGCACACAGCCTGGGGCACCAGGGAGAGGTGAGCACTGGCTCAGCTGCCACACTGGTGTCCCATGGTCTCTATCCTCATCCCACACACCAGGTACCCCGCTCCTGCCTCTGCTGTCAGCACACTTCCTCCCACCTTCTGTTCCCCCTTCCTGCTCTCCACTCATTCTGAATATAAGGGAGTATTTTTTAGAGGAGTGAATTATCTGATAGTTATCTCTAACTCCAGGGCCTGTAGGTGCAATATCCAGCTCCTGAAGCCCCTGGACCTCTAGGAATTTATAGCAGTAGATTGACAGGGAGTTTTTTCTGCAGGTTGTTTATATTATTGTAAGCTGCTTAGAAGGAAAGCTTTAACAGAACAGTAGATAAAAAGAAAATGGGTTTTAAAACCTCCAGTCACTCTTTTTTCTTAACTTGTTCTTGAACAAATAAATGTGAGCTCTGGGAAAGCACCTGAAGGCACTTTCACAAGAAACTAGCACAGAACACAGCAGAATGCAATGGGCAGAACATTCTCTGCTCGGCATTTGGCAACAAAAAAACCCACTGAAAACCTGGGGGAAGATCAGGACCTGGGCAGTGAGGTCAGATTACGAATGCAGGCACTCGGGTATGTGAATAAATAAATGGTCCTCATATTTTCTACCAGTAGGATCCCATATCCTGCAGTATCACATATCTTAATAGCTATTGATTTTTTTTTCTATGTTCTGCCCACAGCTAGAGCAAAATTTCATTCAAATGAAAAACTCACAAATGTGCTGGCAGTCATCATGGGTGAAGGAAAGACAGAAGGTTGGGAAACAGAACGTTAAACAGAATATGCCTTCTAGCGTTATGCAGAGGTCCCATTCAGCAAAGAATGACCATCAGCAAGCAATCTGAAAATTATTTCAGATTAAGGACAGAAATGGAACAGTTCTCTCATCTACAGCAACACTGAACTGACACCTTTCGGGGGACAACTGCATGTCTTTCAGTCACTTAATACATCCTTATCTGCACCGAGGGCATGCCCTGCTGAGAGAAGGGCAGCACAATGAGTAACATAAGATCTCCCAGGTGGTGCTGTATGCCAGTCTGTGCTAATGCTTCCCCCCATCATTCTAAGCAGAGGAGGATTTCAGAGCCCATGAGAATAGTCTCTCTGACCACCTCTTCAGGAAGTCCAAAGTAAACTCCAATGGGAGCTGCTGTCAGGAAAAAAACCAGGATCACTGCTTAGGATTTATGGTAGTCCAAGGAAATTGAAATCTTTACATGGAAGAGAAATGGGACTCAGCCTTCCCATTGGATGATAACAAAAAATAAAGTGATCCAAATAAATAGTCCCGATCCTGTGGTTCTCAAGTGGTGAACACACGGAAAAAGTGATTTTCTCCTTCAGCACTTCTAATTAACCTTCAACACTGCTGGTTCACAGGAACAGACCAGGCAGGTTTACTTTCAAGTGCCTGTCTTCAGTCTGGAGGACAAAGGTTTTCTCCAGGCAGGGAGAAGACATCAGTTGGCCTGAGTCAAGTTCCAGAAGGACGTTTCCCTGGAAAATAAAGAATTTAAATCAGTTACTTGCAGGAGATGCTAAGAAGCAGAGAGAAAGAGAAACATGGGAACAGCAGGCAGCTTCCTCAGAAGGAACTACAAACAAAACAGTGAAAGGGCAGCCGAGTTCCTGTGCAAAAGATAGTATAAAACCTGGCAATTCTCAGTGGTAAAAATAACTCAGAGCAAATTTACAACTCATAGCAAATTGAGCAGCAGCAATTCAGAGTGTAGTCAATAAAAGAGTACATTTCTTCAGTATATTCTCTAATATTTTACCATATTAGTTGCTGTGCAATAGCAGCCTATTTCCTTATTGGCAGCATGCTTAGTTAGTAGTAGAAAATTAAGATTAACTAATCAAATTCCTACTCATTTTTTTAGGAGAAAAAAGGCAGGTATGAAATAGCTTTCAGTGCCACCCTGTTAATCCAGGTAATAGGGATGAGTGCTAAGATGTCCTGTAATGTGGTGGTAGCAGTGACCACTCCTTGTCCCCACAAATGAGAAAGTTAAACATGTAGTTGGAGTAGTCTTTGGGATATTGTTTGCTGTACTGCAGAACGGAAGGCCAAGGAACTGTGGAGAAGCAGAAGTAAGGGAAATGATGTGAGAATGAATAGGAACACAAAATGCGTGATGGAGATGCAGGGAGCCAGAGAGGGGCTTGGGCTGGAAAGTGAAAGCTATTGAAAACTCAGGAGAAGACAAAGCTTTTGTTCCTGTTATGCTGCCTTGGTCAGCTGGGTAATTGGAGGTTTAGTATTTATTGTGCTTAAGCTTGTTTTCCAGATAGAGGCAAAAGCAGGGTAAGGAGGCTCAAGAAAAGGGAAGGGATCCTGTGTTGCTGGAGCTCAAGTCTACAGATGTATCCCACAAATACAGAACTGGAGGCTGGGGTTATAGTCCCAGCAGGATGTTGGCTACTGTTCCATGATGATGTAGTTGACAGGGACAGTTGAAGAGAAGAGTAAACTGCAAACAGCTGTGTTCACAGTTCACACTGAAAGTTTTGATATCTGCAGAAAAAGTAAGTAAACCTCAAAGAGTCATTGATCCCTATCATACTGTCACCTATTCACTTCAGCTCTATCCATCTAGCTGTTAGTGCTTGGGAAAGCGTGAGAGTCCCCTTCCTTCAAAACTTCAGCACAAAAATTGAATCACTGCTTCTGGGCAGGTGTGAGGTCAATCAGCTGTGTCCTGGGATGAGTGTCATCTGAGGCCCTCTCCAGCCTCCATGATCAAACAGGAGGCATCAGGGGAGTCAGGACTGTTTTCCCCAGCTTTGCCCTCTCTAGTATATGTGAGAACAAACTTTTGACACCTGTATGGGTACAGATGGCTCCCTGCTTTCTTCAGCAGTGGCCCCAAACAAGCATCTGAAAATAGACTGACCTTTTGATTATACATGGCCAACTTGCCTGCTCTTTTAGCTGCTGCCATTGAGTTTTCCCAAGCAATCTCTAAACATAAAATAGGAGTGATTCTAAAAGAAAATGGGTTCATCAGGTCAGTGGTAGTGTAATTCTGGAAAGGGTATGAAAGTAAGGAAGTAATGATAATGCACGAATTGAGGGGCTGGTATAATTTACCATGGCTGCATTGAGTTAAAAAAACTGTAAATAAAACTTCCTGTCTGGCTGGAACATAATGAGTTCCCTACCTTTTAACAGTGCCTGCAAAATAAATTAAAAGAAAATGCATACATACTGCCTTTCTTCACTTGCAGATAGTATCTATTTATTAAGGTAAAAGGAACAGTGACAGAAAGTACTGCCTCTGCACAATACTTGCATTAACTTCAAAGTCCTGGCCAGTGCTCAGAGATGAAGAAAGTAGAGGGAATGATGCTAGCATAGGAATCAAGTGATCAAAAATTGCTACTGGCAGTAAAATAGGGGGACTGATGGGCAGTGAAGGCTTGTCCCTAGCCTTCTCATAGCCTTTCTTGTGCTGAAAGGAACAGTGATTTTAGGGAGGTAGAGGATATTTGAAGGCAATTTTTGTTTCTGAGAAAGAGGTATTATTAGTGGTGATTAACTGCAGCTGCTGCTTTTTTAACTTCTTAGTGCTTCAGTACAGGTACTGTCCTTGCTGGTCCAACATTTCAGAGTGGTCTTGCAAGCACAGGAGGCCCAAGAACAGAAAGGGAATAGTAGTGCAAACAGAGTGATGTGAGCAGGACATCCAAAGAGCGTACATAGCCAAAAGGGGTGGAGCCCAACCAGTTCAATGAAGGGCTCACAACAGCTTAGTTTCTGGAATATGCAATCATTAGACAATACTTCTTATAAAACTGTGCTGAAGATATCCTTTTACCCAGCTGGTGATTCAGGTGTCACAAGCTTCTGAGAATAGGGATATGGCTAAAAGCAAGCAAACAAGGAAAGAATAAAAAAAAAAAAAAAAAAAGAAAAAAAAAAAAGAAAAAAAAGAAAAGAAAAGAAAAGACTGATTTTTACCTACACACAACAGGATTCTGCATAGTTACTTCTCATTCCCTTAAACCTCACCGCGGGCAGGGACCCTATGTCAACCGACTGATCAAGGCCTCTGTGAACTACACACTTCCATTTCTTATCTAGAGAACAAAATGGAAACTATGGTAACAGAGACAGACCTGGTAAAGTCCATCAAAGCCCGAGAAGAAAACTCAGTCTACCTCCACCTAGAGCCCGTGACCTCTCTGCTAAGGCTCCCAACCAGAGGGGCACTCCTTGTGACCGTATGATGGGGACATAAATAACTCTTACATAGACATAACTCACTGCACAATTGCTACTGATTTTCACCCATGCTGTGCTTGGTCTCCTGGCTGGAAGGCATATGTATCCCTCCTTTCAGGGTATAACTCTTAAAAGCATACATCACTTAAGCTGTTATTCAGAAACGGAATAATCAAAAGTATTGGGATTTTGGTTGGTAGTTTTAGCTCAACCTGTTACATTTGTCTTAATCTATATCTATATGAAACACATCTGGAAATTGTGCCACTGCTGTAAATTATAATTTCATGTAAAATACATTTTAAAGTCAAGAGAACACTTCCAAATTTACTGCTTTTGTAGGTAAACATAATTTAAAATTTTGCAGATTTTCTTTCTTCTGAAACAACAGACAGAAATTTAAAAACTAGTATAGGAAACTTTTCTCGCAGGAAGTACGGCAATTTTTATAATACACTCAAAGGCAATTTACTCTGACATGACTTAAAAAGTAAAGCTCATTTTAACAGTGTATAGGGGTTTTTTTGCAACATAGTAGAATTCCTGACCATCTGACAGAACAAAGAATAGTGTGCAAAATACCATGTGGATTTAAAGTGGCCAAAAGCAGAGGCTAGCATATAATTCTCTTTGCTGTAGAACCCAAATTCTCTTTTGGGAAGGGCTGGAGCAGGTGTCTGTGAGCCTCAAAAGAGAAAACAGGTTGTCTATTTCAATGAGAAAAGGATGCATTTTGGCTTGTTTTGTTTTCCTACGAACTGCACCTAGAGTTTAAAAGCAAAAAACCTAGTGAGGTCTGCTGCAAGCCTCAGACAAAGTCTGTGTCCCTGAGGTTGCAAAATCCTGCCTAATGTATGGTTTTTCCATCAACATGGGATATAGGACAGAGCCAAGCTGTAAGCATTCATGCTTACACTTTTCAAAGTCTTTTTTAAAACAAAAGGAGGGCTGGTCATCCTGGAGAGGGTGAACAGCAGGGATTGGCACATCCTGTTTTTGCTATTAACCCATATAAATGGATGTAAAGGCACTAAAAGGAATGGAAACAGAAAGTAAGATATAGAAACTTTTCTATAATATACCATTGCAACAGGATTTGGAAACTTCTAATACTCTTATAATCCCATTCACACTATCAAGGTATCTGGCCTTGCAGTCACTCAGTCTGTGTTCAGCGCTTTGTTTAAGGTGCATCCCATAATACCTTCTGCCCCGTGGTAATTTAGGAGCATTCGTACTCGAAAAATAGAAAAAAAATTAATGCTTGAATTGTCTACATAAAAATGCTTAAAAATGTACTCCCTTTTGGTACCAGTATAGCATATGTGATAAGTGTAACACAGACTGAGAGATATAACTTGCAGCACAAAACTAGCATCACCTCTTGGAAGATATACATAAGGGACAGACTCTAAAATAAAAGAAAAAAGAAACATCAAAATTATTTAAGGGTAGCAAACAAAATCATAAATAGTGGGTTTGTCATGCACATTTGCTGTTTAGCCACGGCTCTGGAATTTTAAGTGCTAGTGTTGGAGAAAGGAAGCAATTGGCTGGGTGCAATCTGAATTCTAGTTTCAAATGATTCCAGAACCTGTCCTCTGCTATAGCAGACAACTTATACACTAATAGATGTCTTTATCACAGCAGCAGAGCAATCAGCCTTAGTTCAGATTCTTTTCTTAGAAACTTTCACAGAACTAGCTTTATTTTAGAGTTACCAGTATGCTGTTAATTCCAAACCTCAGTGGATTTCTAAAACCACTATGCAAAATGAACATATGGATTAATTGCAGAAAGAATAGATACTATCACTTACCTCTGAAAAATAATCAATACTGCAGAAAAGGCTTGTAAGCAGAATTAAAAGGAGAGGTAATTTTCTTTAATTGGTTTTGAGCATTACCAATTTTCATTAGCACTTCTTGTATGCCCCTAGAACATACATACAAGGGGACGTATATAAAACTAGCTTAGAAAGTTCTATCACTTTTTATATGCTGTTTCTTGCCTGCCATTTTAATTTTTTTTTGTACTTTTCAGCTTTCACACATTTTAAAATGATAGAGTAGTATATCAATTATAATTGAGTGGTAACAAAAAATATTATTTCTCTCTTTGCTAGATGTATGGCGTGCGTGAGTAAAGTAAAGATTTGTAGGCTGTGGAGAGATAATTTAGAGGCGTAATGGCTGCTAATGTTACTAAGTTTGTTTTCCCTTTTTTTATATTTGTCATATAATTTTTACTGTGTGTTTTTCTCCTCTGAAAGTATTTCAAAAGACATTATAATATACCACCTTGTCTTTTAAAAGGTCATTATTCGCACAAATTGTCATTTAAGTTGAACTTTAAATTTGATGAATTTTCTGTTTCAGCCTGTGAGAAATGAGACTGAAAGCAGAAATTAGAACTAGCCTTTGTCCAAGACCAAAGCAAATTATGAGGGACACCACAATGCCTGCCCTGCTGAAAAGATATTTAAACACATGGTGTCAGCGAGAAGTGTGCATCACAGCCATGCCATAGCTGCACCCTCCGCATCTGACCTTTGAAAGATTTCAGTGCCTCATCAAAGTAACACACACACACATATGAACATTTTGAAAAATGAAGATTAAGATCTGGAGTGTAAAAGGACAAATGAAGCTTACAATAGTAGCTAGGGATCTTCCACTGTGCGCTGCTGTCTTGATAAGTCAGTCAGCATAGTTAATGATACTTGGATTTTAGGAAACTGAATGGTATACATGTAGTGTTCACCTGTTATGATATCTTGTGACAAGAATCTTTTCTGAAGTAACAGCTACAGGCACAGACCTGCAATGCAGAGAAGCCAGGCTATTATTAAAACCACAACAGCAGTCCACCCCAACTTTACCAACAGATATTTCAAATGACAGATAAAGGTATTGAATAGCTCTTTCATTTTTTCCTTTCTCTTCATCTGACATCACATCAGCCGGCCTGTACAGAACAGCAGAGAGGGGAAGGAACAGGTTTAGGCAGATGCTGCTTGTGGTCCCACTTGCCACTCGTGCTCCCCAGGGCACTCCTCATAATCATAGCCACCTCCCGCACATAGGTTAGATGCTACAGCATTATTATCCACCTACAGAGCTCTGCTTCATTCAGACTGATGTTTATTCATACTTTGTTATTGCAGATTTCCACATTTGGAGGCTCATTGCAGGACAAAGACATTTTCTGTGGCTGGAATCCTCTGTTTCGCTCAGAGATCTGTTTCACATCATGTCGCTTGTGTACAAGTCATTATAAAAAATGTTTGGTGGAAAAGTAATTTATAAACCATAAATAGAATTATTTAGTCTCTGTTTTTATCACTGCAGACCAACACAGCTCTTAATTGCAAAACTGACCTGGTCCCAAAGCAAAGGCCAGCTGTATCTAATCATCTGGGGATGGGCCAGAACACAACGAATAAAGGAATTGGAAAGTAACGCCAAAAGGTTTTAAGATGTAAAATGACACAACGTTCAATGAACACTTGCCAACATCATCTCTAATTACTGCAGTGATTAAGTAGTAAAGAATTTGGTCCCAAGGGGATTACAGTTCTGAAGGAAATATGGTGCCATGTGTTACAGAATTTTTTCTTGCAAATCATTATGGAAATCCTGCTTCCTCTGGTTCTCCTAACAAACTCTTTCTTTGCAAAAACCGTGCTTCATTTGTGAAGTGCAGAGGGAGTGTAGCTTGCCTGCTTCTGAAGATTTACATCTTTATTTCTATGTATTCAACTTGCCTTTTTAAAAAAATCCTTTTATGTCTCTAAAGAAAGAAGCATAGAAAGCATTATGTATTTGCATACTGTAAGGGTTCCTCTCATCCTTGCTGAAGAACAAACAGAGAATAGGGGAGGGCTAGATAAAAGCATCGAGACCTTAACACAGCATGGCAATGGCCTAATAAACAGCCAGAGAAACTGCAATTAATGCAAGTCCAGCTTAAAATCATAGTCCCGGGGGATACCTTAGAAGACCTTGTTTAGAAGTACTTTCTTTTTTTTCATTATTCTCTTAACCATGAGATCAAAATTTGTCCAGCTTAAAAAAACCCAAAGCACAATGAAAAAAACTGAGGTTGAATAACAAAAGCATTGGAATTGATTTTAATTTACAGGTTATGTTTAAACTTCCTATAACTCTGGATCAAAATGTCAATTGCACAAGCAAAACATGTCTCTCACCATAGCATGCTCATGTTTATTGTGTTTTATTCTCTCAGCAGGTGTCCCTAGATGTATTCTGTGTTGTCGTCTTTTCACTCAGCAAAGGAAGAGGAAAAACAATCCTCATGCTCTTACATAGCAATATTCTCATCCTCTTACAGTAGGAGACAAAGAACAGCAAGGGAATAACCATGGACCTCCTTCTCTGTTTTGTCCTAATTTTTTCGCATCAGATCCATGTCTCTGTTGTCGTCTTACCCCTTGCTATACAGAGCTTCCAAACATGCTATGGCATGTTCCACAAAAAAATATTTAGCTTTACAAAGCACTCTTATCAGTACATCAAAGCAACACAATTATCCCCATTTCACTGGTGCGAAAACCAAGACTCAAACATCATCTGTATGGAATATGCACAGCAGGGAAATAGTGCTGTAAGTTCCCAGGCTATGAATGCCATACGTATACATCAGAAATGGAGCATTCCTGTCTGCCACGGACAGAGAGGTCAAGGGAGAGGAGAAGGAAGGAGAGGCACAAGAACCTAACACCCCGGGTTATATGCTTTCTGTTATCCTAAGAGAGATAGAGAATCAGTCGTAAACAAATAAAACCAAGACCAACTGACTGCAGACATAGCTTTTAGAGAAAAATCCAACACCTGATTAAATATGAGTGAGAAATGGCAACATGGGCTGCTGCTGTCAGCTGCGCCCCAGTTGCCTGGCTGTGGTATGCTGCTGGTATGTGGTCAAATGTATTAGCAGAATGAAAAACAAAACTGGCTACAGTAGTAAATTAAACTGCTTCCTCTTGCTTCTTAGTAGATATGATGTTTAGCTGGAAAGGCAACAGATGCTCTGAATTTCAGTGTTTAAAATGAGACATTGAGACTCTTCCTTTTTAGCCAAGTTGTTACAAGTATGGGAGAAGATGCTCTTTTTTTCCTCAGCATTGAATAAGATGTTAAACTTAGTTTTCTAAGCTCATTTCATGAATCATTCATGATCAAGTACAAATCCTCACAAACTCACAAGCTTCCTGGTCGAGAGCACTGAACCAGCAAGAAGACTATTTAGGGAGATTTAACAGGGAATGCCAAAACAGTTAAAAATACAACTGGAAGGATCATAAGCAGTAGGTAAATTCATTGGACCAGAACACTTATCAGTTGCTTCATTCCCATTTGTACTATCAGCAATGTTGATAATAAAAGTGTTGCAGATTTTGCAAAGAACTTCAGATTCTTAAATTCTAATTTTTTTATGCATCTGTAGCTGTTATTTCTGTGAAGGGCATCATGCCATCCTGCTTGTGAGTCACTAAAATTCTTTTTTGGAGACTTAGCAGTATGAAGTTCTAAGTAAGTCATGCTGAGAAAAACACTCATTTTTGATAAAATAGATCAAATTGTGTTACGGTGACCAAAAAACTTCTAATAAATGTTGCCTCTACAAAAATCTGACAAGATAACTACATTTAGAGGGAAATAGATTAGCTGACTGTTAAATGTGTAGCGCTAAGACCAAATGTTTGGAAGGCACTGAAAGCAAAAGTCTCCACACAGTTTTTATTGTCTCTTTTTATGTCCTCACTCAATTAGAAGGTGCATGTGTTTCTTTGGCATCTGCTCCCATTTCTCATTACCTTGCTGAAGGAAAGGACAGATGGAAGAAAGATGGGTCTGGGGCAGACATACTAAGGGAAAAGGAATATTAAAGGTCCTTAACAGTTGTAAAGGGAACAAAGAAGGCATACCCTGCTTGTAAAATGGCCAGGTGAGAGTTAGGTTACAACAATGTAGACCTTCAACAGCACAGCCAGCACCCAGAGTACGGTCAGGTGGGAGCCTTCAGTGCCCCAAGGCAAGGAGAGCTGCATCTCCAAGAAGGGATGCTCTTATTCTCCTTGCACTAAATTTTCCAGCACCTCCTCCATAACTCCCAAACAGCAGGTCTAGCTCCTTTTCATTTTAAAGTCTATTGCAATTGAATATAAATCTATCAGCAAATAAAGTGGTGACTCTCAGCTGATGATTTGGAAATGAACGTGCACCTTCACAGGCTAATTGCTCAAGCTGGAATCCTCTCATACCCAAATTCCTCTACATCAATCTAAAGCTTGGCTGACCTACCTCCAAACTATACCAGAGCTTTCTGGCAGCACCACAGCAAGCTCCCAGAGGCACTAGTCTGCAATTACCTGTCAGAAATAGAGACCAGGAGTGGTAGGCTGCTACCTCTGTCACCTACCTGAAAGGAGACTGGGTAAACCATAAAGTCATCATTTTCCTGTAACACCTCCATGATGCTACCAAAACACAGGAACTGTCGTATTTAGAGACCTCATCTATAGCATTTTCACACAAACTGAGTACACCCAAAATGCAATGAGAAACTAATCAGTCTTTTCTACAGCTTGCTACCTTGTATTTTTGTTTGAAGCTTAGGTGTAGTGGAAAGACACGAGTTAAAAATTGATTTTTTTTTTTTTAAAGAAAATAACTATGCTCTAAAAAAAGTCATAAAATTATTCATTTATGTTAAACATCAGCTGTTTCTGTTTTCTATTAAAACAGCTCTGGCTTTCCTTTAAACTCTATTAAAAGAAAATCAGGAGATTTTCATATTTTTTAGGCTTGAGCTGCTGTAAAAACAAAGAATCGCATGGTTCCTAAACTGTTCTAAATAGCATTTGTACAGAAATGTAAGTAAACTTTCACCTTTTGGAAAGAGTAAAATCTATGTATTGCCTTGAAAAGGGCACTAAATGGCTCCTGCATTTAGGACTGGATGGCAAACTCTTTTTACAGCAATGTCTGAGATGTGCTGCTTGCCTTTGCTATGATGTCAAGCCTCAGCCTTTATGGCATTGCAATTTCCCTTCTAGAAAAAAGTTGATATTTGTGGACCATATTACACTGAATGAAATTTGCAGTCTCTGATGCCTGCTAGTGGGACATTTGTTACATGCTGTGTTTTGAATGCAGTAATACATATTTCAATGTGGCATTGCTTCTTCAAAAGATTAAAAACCTTTTAGTCCTTTGAGACTTGTGTCAGCATCTGATTTCATGTGCAGGGTAATCTTTAAATATTAATATGGGGCAAGGTCATGCTCTCTTTAACCCCCAAAATGGAGTTAGTAAATCATGATCTGGCAGTAAAAATATACAGGGCACATCAGTATTTGTTTAGGGCAAAATCTAAATTTAAATTAAACTAAATTAGCTACTGGTATTTTTATAATCACATATACATAATGTATTATTTGTGGGCAGGGAGTGAAGTATGGATAGCCTATGAAGCTGTAGTTGAAATATATTTATTAAGATGGTTTTAATAAAATCTCTGCCATTGACAGCAGAGAAAGAGTATCTGAAATACCAGTTAGATAAATCTAAACTGGGAATTCTGAAGCTCTTGGGGCAAATCTGCTGCTGTCAGGTTCTCTGTTGACTACAGCAGAATGAGTCAGTTTACACCAGATGAGCAGGAGCCTTTTGGGCTCTCCTCTAAGCTGATCCACTGATTTATGGCATGACACTGGTAGTCTCTTTGACCTCTTTATATGCCATCCGTCCTGCTAAGGAGCAGGGGAGGGGGGAGTGCTGGACCTTCCTGGAACC